CACACAGCCAGTATGTATCATAGGCGGGATATGAACCCAGCTCTTTATCCATTATGTCATGCATTTGAAATAAGAAAGAATATACTGAGGGAAAAGGAAAGACTCAAAATGCTAGATGACATTCAAGGAGGGAGACCTCGTTTCCTGGAGAAGATGGCGCTTGGGCTAGGCCTTGAAGGAAGAGGATTTCAACAGCAGAGATGAGGAGGAAGTGCAATTCAGGCATGAGGTGGAGAGAGGGCAGAGACAGGGAAGCAGGCTGTGTGGTCTGATTGGAATGTAGAATACATGAAAGAAAGTAATGATGGTCAGATAAGTTAAAGGCAGATCACAGAGGGCCTTCAAATGAAATGCTAGGTGGAAGAGTCTGTATGTTATCCTAGAGGCTACAGAAACTACTGAAGGTTTTTGAGAAGGAGAATGATAGGGCCAGGTTTCTGCATCAGTAATCTACAGCATTGGAGAGAGGTGGGGGATGGACATAGAGATCTGGCAATCACCTGCCTAGAGGTGATAATTGAATCTAAGGGAGAGAACGAGATTTTTTAAGTGAGAGAGCGTTGAGAGATGGGTAAAGATTGGGTAAGGACAGAACCTTTACAGAATGCCCACGTTTGGGTGGGACCAGAGAAAGATGAGCCAGGGAAGATGGCCAAAAGATTGAGCCAGTTGGGTATGAGTTTCTGGAATTTCTTTGGGGGAAAAACCCAAAATTCACTAAATTTGTAATTAATAAATCTTGCCTTTATGGGAGTTGTACACCCCCTGGAAATGTCTCTAAAGCCTGCTTGGTTTAACACACTTTCAACCTTATAGCAAAAAGAACAAGGGGGAATGAAGCTGATGAAAATTCCTCAAATGTCATTCAGCACAGACTTGTCTAGTGCTTTTTAATTTTCCCCTCAAAATCAGGAGCTCTGAATTTTTATTTCTTGTATGTGTGTCTTTGGCAGCCCAGACCCCTCCCACAGAATAATGTTTCTTAATGCATAAAGTACACAGGGGTAGGGCACTTGTGGCCTCCAGGCCGAAGGTTCCCTATCCCTGAGAGAGTAAAAAAGGAAACTAATTCTATTGAAATAGTTATCCAAATAAACAAATTTAAAATTTTATTTAAAAAAATTAGGCATCATATTTCTTGCCTTCTCAATGGGTGGGAGAAGGAATTTGGAACTGAAGATAAAATTTAAATATATAATACATTATTACTATAATTGGTATTGTTCAGTTGTTTTCAGTCATGTCTAATCTTTAGTGAGCTCATTTGGGGTTTTCTTGAGAAAGATACTGGAGTGGTTTGCCATTTCCCTCTCCAGCTCATTTTATAGATGAAGAAACTGAGACAAATAGGTTAAGTGACTTGCTCAGGGTCACACAGTAAGTGTCTGAGGCCAGATTTGAACTCACAAAGATGAATCTTCCTGACTCCAAGATTAGCACTCATCCACTGTGCCACCTAGTGGCTCCTATTAATATATTATGTTATACATAACAAATAACACTTGTTATATATATATATATAAATAGGTACACCTATGCATGTCACACATGTATATGTGGACACACATATCTAGATATACCACAACTTCCCACACCTCAAGTTAAGAACCTTGCTCTAAACCCACCAACAAAACTGGCACCTTTTACCGGGCCCAGATGTTCCTGATTAGCCAGCCCTGAGCTTCCCATTCAGAGACCTTTCCTTTTTGTTGAGAGGAAGTGTGGCCTAGTGATCAGGAAGAGGGCCTGTGCTGGAATCAGGAAGAGCCGGCATCCCATCCCAGATTCACAGATCTGCAATTGGAGGGTCTTCAGAAGCTGCCCAGTCTGACTACTTCATTTTACAGATGAGGAAGCTGAGGCCCGGGGAAGTTAGATCTTTGTCAAAGTTTTCTAGGTGGTATCAGAGATGAGGTTTGAACCCAGATCCTCCGACTGAGGAGGGGTTAAAATCCTACCTCCCCTTCTCACAGCTCCATGCCCAAGGGCAAATTATCTATCTGAGCCTGAGTTTCTAAAATGGTGGCAGGAGCTCACACACTGTTAGCAGTTACAAACACTGCTGTAACAGGTACTTTACCCCCTGGGAAAGGCCAAGTGCTTAGAGTCCTGGGCCTGGAGTGAGGAAAGCCCAAGTTCTAATTACTAGCTGTGTAACCCTGGGCAAGTCACTTTACTCTGTTTGCCTCAGTTTTCTCATCTGTGAAATGAACTGGGGAAGGAAATGGCCAGTAAGTACAATAACAGCACCTACCTGCCAGGCTTGTTGGGAAGATCAAGAAGAGATAACGACTGTAAAGTGCTTAGCGTGGTGCCTGGAACATAATGGGTGCTCTATAAATGTTAGCTATTATTTATTATTGTCATTATCCCTATATCTGCCACAGGTTGGGGCTCAAGGAGATTATGTAAAGTGCCTTGCAAACACTGAAACACCACTGAAATGCTAGTTATTATTATTTGGTTACACTATCTGTAATATGAAAATGAACTTGCAAACTCTGATGCCATTCTTCCTCATAAAATCCCAAATCTGACTGAAATGGTTCTTTTCAATGTTTAATCAAAAATTTCTGAAGGCAACAGTGGGAAGGAAGAATGACATCCTCAGACTGTGCTTGGCCTTTGTTGGAGGCAGCAGGGAGCCAGAGGAGCCCGAGCGGCATCCTCTTCTGTCCCTGCCCCCTCCAGTGGCCTCTACCACCTACTGCATCAGATCAAACGACGGGCAGGCAGCACTGTCTTCACTTACTGCCCCGGTGGGCAGATGGACTGGCAGAATAACACCAGCTCCATTTAAAGGAGCCAGCTGGGCTGAGCTTGGGGCATCCTGGAATTCCGGGGTTCTGGAGCGGCAGCTCTCAGAAATAAAACAACCCTATCTTTTCTTGGCAAAAGGCAGTGTCTGATCTCCTAAAATCTTCTTCCACTGGATAGAAGGAAAGATTGCCTCAGAAAACATTTCATTTCTTTACAAGTATTTCCTGGTTGGCACAGGCAGGCTCAAGAGTCGTATTTCATTAATCATAAAGCAGCCCTTTCTTCCCCCACATTTCTAAAAAACTTCTTTCTTTTCCATTTGGCAAACAGATTTGCATTTTTTTTTTGACAGAATTAAAGATCTCTCAATGGTCCTGAATAGGAAAATATTCACTTGGGTTTTTGGACTCAGTAAGGGAGGACTGGGCAGCATGATGTTGAGGCAAAGATGTTTTGGATGAAATAAGACCTCTCACCCATTAAAAAAACCCCCACCCCCTGAAATCCTTCTCTTTCTCAAATCACGTCTCTTTACAGAGACAAGTCTGAGAGAACATATTGACTAAGAATAGGGAGACTGAATGGGTTTGGAGTAAAATTTAGCCACACCTAGAGGCCTTGGAGAGGAGCAACAGTGCCAGGTAACAGTGGTTACCTGGGATAAATACTTAATGCTGACATGATTACCTCTTTTCTAAGGGAGAACTATTGGTTCATTGTTCTCCTTAAAATGTTTAGCAATAACTATCTCTTCATTCAGAATGAACTGGAAAGGCAGCTTTAACGAAAGCTCTCTTCCCCCACTTTCTAGTAAAAGGAGGTGTGACCCAATGTGAATAGACAAACAGGATTCAGGAATACCTGAATGAATTCTGTTCCCACCAGGGAGATCCCTGGGAGATTAGAGTTCAGAAAGGAACCTCATAATGGTTTAGGCTTCAGAGGATCTGAATTCTAATTCTGACTCTGCTATTTACTATCTTTGTTACTTTGGGTATGTCATTAAACCTTTCCAAGATTCAGTTTCAGCCTCTGTTAAAAAGTAATCGTACTGGAGCCAAGACTTGAACCCAAATTTCCTGACTCCAAACCCAATGCTCTTTCCCTAGCACTAGGACGTCATATCCATGTTTAAAAGGGAGGTGCTGGATCTAGATAATACTATTCTGGGTTGACATATTACGGGGGTCAGAGGCACAGGGTAAGATTGAGAATAGAAAGTAGTCATTTTAGATTAATAGGAAGGGTCTATAAATTAATAAATTGAAATTGGATTAGAATCAAATGCTAACTGAATTTGATTGGATGCTGTCTGATAAAAGAACTCAGTTCCAGAGGTGAATCATCCATTCATCTGTCCATCTTTTATCTTGAAGACAAGGTTTGCTCCATTCCTCGTAATAAAGAGTACCAGCAGTTCTCATATCCCTTTCAGGGGGTCAGTGAAGTAAAAATTATTTTCATAATCATACTAAGACACTATTTCCCTAATAAAATACTCCTCCCTTTTCCAACTACTTATTATCTGTGTGAGGCTGGATTCCCTTCCCATACTTCAACCAAAATAGCATATTGCAACAGACTGAATGTGGAAGAGCAGATAAGAATCCAACTACATTCTATTAAGCCAGACATTAAAGAGATTTGCAAAAATGAGTAAAATGTGATTCTTCTCACTATTTAAAAAATATATTGTTTAATAAAAATATGTTATTTCTACTGAGTTTTAAATCTATTAATAAATACTTTAAAATTTTGCCAGTTTTCTTTTCTAATATGGTAAACATTGATATATGCAACATAAACAAAAGCTCTCTGGGGTCCTCAATAATTTAAGAGTAAAAAGTTGGAGAGCCACTGCTATAGGCAGATCAGATAGGGACAGAAAAGTGTAAAAGATCTGGATGCTAGCCTAAAGCCTGGTAAGTGAGAGTTAGGAGAGGCTTAGAAGAAAATTGTCCACGGGGACAGGGGTTAGATAAGGAGAGAGGGAGACTAGAAAATTAAAAATAAAACAACACAAAACCACAGGTTAAATAGGAATGTCAAGTTTAGATGATTTTTTTACATTTTTTTTTTACAATAAATCTCCCATACTTTCCCCCAATTTTTCCCACAAAGCAATTAGCAATTCTCCAGCTGAGTGGCCTGCCTGTTCTCTTTAATATGGTTGCCAAGATAGATTTTCCTGGCCCACCAGACAGAGCGGCTCTCAGGATGGTTGTTTTGAAGCTACTCACCAGATTTCCCTGAAGCCACTCTTTTATGTAGGCTGCAGTGGGCTCTGGGATCTGACCCCGGAGGGCTTCTCTTTCCTGAGGATCCCCCAGCATCTCCAGTGACAGCTTCAGGTCCTCAACGAGATGAAGTACTGGGAACATGTTCATGTATGGGGATTGGGAGGGCAGCCCAACGTCATAGGCACCATTGCTGTGTTCGGCAGCCGATTTGGTGCCTGGAACAGACGAGAGGGAGTGAAGGTTAGCCTTACTGCAGCCTGAACTTGAACACATATATCTGCTTAAAAATGAGACAACCAATGTCATCAAAGAAGGTTCCTAATTCCCAGACAGAATTGTGTAAAGTAAGGCTTTTTTTCCTGAGCCTTCACTAAGAGTATTCATTTCCCAAGAAATAGGTAGACCCAGGACCCCTGGGCGTATGGGAGCACCCTCTTCTCCCCATCGATGCCTCCGGCCCAGCCCTTACAGTCATCATTCAGGGAAGCAACGTCTGAGGCCAGCTGTCTTCACCAACTGCCAACCAACTGCCCCACCCAAAGCCAACCTAGCTGAAGCAGACGGGGGTGGGGAGAGAGTTCGGGGGAGGGAGGGAAGAGACTAAAGGCAGCATCTGCCAGGCAAGGCAAGTCACCACTACCACCATTGACCATCATTTCCCCTCAAATGCTATCTAGACAGTCCAGGACTCTGAACCCAAGAGCCTTGGGAATGATGACGCTTCCTCAGCCATCATCCTGGGAAACAAACCCTATGGAGACGCAGCCTGACCACTGCTTCTGCAAGCGCTATTGCCATAGCTATTGAAAACCCACCAAAGTCCTGGGCAACGTCTAATTATTCAACATGATAAATGATGAGATGACGATAAGAATAACAACATTTATGTGGCACTTATCATGTCCCAGGCACTGTGCTAAGTGCTTTACAAACACTATCTCATTTGATCCTCACAATGACCCTGGGAGGTAGGAACTGTTATTCCCATTTTACAGATGAGGAAACAGAGGCGAACTGAGGTTGACTTTCCCAGGGTCACACAGCTAGTAAGTGTCTGAGCTGGATTTGGACTCAGGTCTTCCTGACTACAAGTCTACTTAGCTGCTGCCCCCATCAGAAAATTATATATACACACATATTATATATAATATATATATATATATATATATATATATATATATTTAAATTATATTAAATTATATATATATATATATATTTAAATTATATTAAATTATATATATATATATATATATGTAGATATATATTTAGTGGAAATGACATTAACACAGATGTTTTACCATCGGCTTTGCCTGAGGACCACAAGACCTTTCCACCTGACTTGCAGTGGAAACCTTTCAAGTGTTGTCTCATTAGAATGTAAGCTCTTTGTGTCTGGCGGGCAGCACAATACTTTGCACATAGTAAGTGCTTAATAAATGCTTTGTTCATTCATTCTAAGACTCAAGTCCTTAATCAGTCCCTAGGGATTCCTACTTTTTCTTTTAATTGTTTTTTCATTCTGAACTTAACAAACAACTGGTTATCAGTCAATAAATATTTATTAAGGCGCAGCTAGGTGGCTCACTAGATAAAGCACCAGCCCTGAAGTCAGGAAGACTTCAGTTCAAGTCTGGCCTCAGACCAAACACTTGACACTTACTAGCAGTGTGACCCTGGGCAAGTCACTTAACCCCAATTGCCCAAAAATAAATAAATAAGTCAATAAATATCTATTTAGAACCTATTATTTACTGTGCTAATCACTGGGAATACAAAAAGAAGCAAGACAGTCCCTGATTTCAAGAAGTACAAATCTCTTATGGGGAGGCAACAGTTTAAATTGGAGCACTTCTGTATACAGAGTAGAACAGAAAAAGAAGACTGTAATGTTTCATAGGCTGGATCCTCCCCAGATCATGTCCTCTGCAGAAGGTTTCCCTGAGGGGTCTGTCCTGGGCCCTCTTCTTCTCCCTCTGACTACTTCACTTAGTGATCTCATCAACAACCAAGAACTGATTTACCATTTTTATGCTGATGATTCTAAAATCTACCTTTCCTGCCCCAATCTCTCTGCTGACCTCCAGCTTGACATTTCTAACTGCCTTTAGACATCTTCATAAATGATGATGATGATGATGAGAATAATAACATTTACATGGCACTTACTATAATCTCATTTGGTACTCATCTTAAACTCAGTATGTCCAAAGCTGAACTCCTTATATTTCCCCCTAAACCCTCCTTCTCTCCTACATTCCCTATCACTGTAGAGAAAACCACCATTGTCGTCCTAGTCCGGGGTGAGGAACCTGCTGTAGCCTTCTAGGTCCTGGGGTGCACCTTTTGACTGAGTCCAAGTTTTACAGAACAAATCTTTTTATAGTTTTACAGAACAAATCCTTTTATTAAGGGGATTTGTTCTGTGAAGTTTGGATTCAGTCAAAGGGCAGTACTTGAGGACCTAGAGGGCCACAAGTGGCTTCCAGGCTGCAGGTTCCCCACCCTGTTCTAGACATTCAGGCTCCCAACCTAGGAGTCCTCCTCTCTCTCTCCTCTGCCCCCCTCCCATCCAATCTACTGCCAGGTCTGCTGATTTCACCTTTACAACATCTCTCAATACTCCCCCTTCTCTGCTCCTGGAACAGTCTGGTGGTGGGTCAGTTTGTCTCAAATCTCTTCCCACCCTCCATTCAGCCACCAAGTGATTTTTTTAAAAGTGCACATCTGATCATATCACTGACCTACTCAATAAACTCCCATGGCTCCCTATTGCCTCCAGGAGCAAATACAAAATACTCTAGTTAGCGTTCAAAGCCCTGCATAACCTAGCCTCTTCCTACCTTTCCAGTCTTTGTGCACCTTCCTCATCCATACATACTCTTTGATCCAGGAATAATGGCCTTGAGACTGTTCCACAAATAAGATACTCCACCTCTGGGCTCTGGGTATTTTCTCTGGTTGTCCTCCCATGCCTGGATCTCTCCCTCTCCTGTGCTCTGACTACTGACACCCCTAGCCTCCTTTAAGCCCCAACCAAAAATCCCAGCTTCTACAGGAAGCCTTCTAGCCCCTCCTAATTCCAGTGCTTTTCCTCTTTCAATTATTTCCTATTCTTCCTGTATACAGTTTGCTTTGTATATATTTGCTTGCATGCTCTGTCTCCTATTAGACTAAGATTATCTTCTGCCTCTTTTTGTGTTCCTAGCACTTAGCACAGTGCCTGGCATATAGCAGGCACTTGCAGTTTTTCAGGTATGCCTGACTCGTTGTGACCCCATTTTGGGATTTTCTTGGTAAAGATACTAGTGAGGTTGGCTATTTCCTTCTCCATCTCATTTTACAAAAGAGGAACTTAGGCAAAAGAGTTAAAGGACTTGCCCAGGAGAAGTGTCTGAGATTGGATTTGAACTCAAAAAGATGAATCTTCCTGACTCCAGGCTCAGCATTCTATCCACTGCTCCACCTAGCTGCCTAGAAGATGCTTAATAAGGGTTAATTGAATGAATGAAACTGAACCTCCATTATCTACAACATACTTTTATTTTTAAGTATATTACATGCAGAGCAAAGTGAGCAGAACAACTTATATAATAATACTGTAAAATAAACCACTCTGAAAGATTTAAGAGCTGTGATCAGTACAAACGCCAAAGATGATTCCAGAGGATCCACCATGAAGAATGCTGTCCCCTTCCTACCAGATGTCTGATGGGCCACACATATATAGAATCGGTTCTGGATGTGGCCAATGTGAGAACTTTGTGCTTGACTGCATATATGTGGGAGCCTAATTTTGTTTAATCCTCCTCTTTAGTTTCTCTAGTGATATTAAGGACTATTTCTCCAACCTAAAATCCTTCCCCAATTTTTCCCTTTAGAAAAGTGGATAGAACAAAAGTTAAGGCATTTCTTTTAGAAAGGAATTAAATGGGATAACCAAATCTGGTCAAGTCTAGATAGGATCAGGGCCTCCCCCACCCATTTGAAGTAGGGGTCTCTTTTTTATTCAAGGTTAAAGATCTCAAGGATAAAATCCTTTTCAGTTTTAGGAGTAGTCCAGGAAGGAATTGAGTACAGAGAATAGTTAACCTCAAACTGTATTACAACCTTTATATAAATATACACATGACCTTTTCCTTATTCAAGATTTTTATAAATATTATCTCAAATAGTCTTGGGGTAGACAAACATATTACAGGGCATGGGGGCATACCACATTTTGAATATCTCTCTCTTTAAGCTAGAAATGGCTTAGATATAGATTAATGTTAAATTCAATTAATTTTTTTTCTAGCAGAATTGAGCCTAAAAATGCACAGTACATATTAATATTTTTCCCCAATATTTATTTCAAGGGCTTTGTTTTTTCTTTTTTTGGGGGGGAGGGAGGGGGAAAGCAGGGAGAAGGTAGGAGAGATAATAAATGTTGGTTAACTTTTTAGAAATAATTTAAAGATTAAATCATATATTCAACATGCAATTTTCAAATCTCTCCTTTTCCACAGTTCCTTTTGAACTTCTTTTGGTCCTTTTCTGTGAATGTTTAAAAAAATGCTTCAATGATTTTTTCTTTCCATCTTTTTGATGATAACTCTACCTCTAACCTTTCCTCTCAACTCCCCGTCACCCTTAAGTCCCCCCATAAAATCTTTGTAACAAATATGCAGCCAAGCAAAACAAATCCCCACATTGGCTATATCCCAAAATTTATGTCTCATTTTGCACCTTAAATGGTACAAAAGGTGGGGTAGCATGCTTCATTATCATTCAGACTCCTGGAATCAGATCAATACTTTTTTAGTGAAATATAGCTAGACTAAATTTCAATGGCACATCAGTAGAAAAACTTTTCCTATCAATATCCTAAATATGTCAGAGAAAAATACATAAGAGAATTGGAAAAAACACTAAATCATGAGGTTCTGTCAAACACAAGATATGACAAAATTATTGAAAGACTAAAATTTATTTCCTTTTGTATTGGATAATGGTGGTACAAAAGGCTACTGAAAGCTAAGGACTATAGGGGCTGAAAAAGGTTAGGAACACTACTTGGGAAGAGCATATACCTGCAAGCAAGATGTTATTCAGTTGTTCCCGTTGTTTTCTTGGCAGAGACACTGAGACAGTTTGCCTTTTCCTTCTCCAGCTCATTTTACAGATGAGGAAACTGAGGCTGACAGGGTTAAGTGATTTGCCCAGAGTCACAAAGATA